GGCTGTTTACTTCCCGCAAATCCTGTACTGGTCTGAAGTCTGAGGTGCCAGGCTTCCTCACAGGAAGCAGGGGTGTATTCCAGGCTGACTGGCAAGGGACCAGGATGCCAGCTTCCTGGAGTCAGTGGATGTGTTTGGATATCCCTACCTTGGCCTCCAGCTGAAGGGGGTACTGCCGCACACGGGCAGGGGTGGCAGAGGCCAACAGTTGAACCACCACTGGGGCATGGTGTTTGGCCAATCTGGGTAAATTGGTTTCAGCCCATCCTAGGGGAAACTTTTTCTGAAGGTAGTCCCATTTTTGTTCAGGAGGTTCTATGCCCTCCTTTAGCAGCTTAAATTCATCTTCAAGGGAACCGTTACCATAATGGCAGAGGGTGGCTTGAGTTTGAGAGTCCCTCCTTCAGGCTCAAAGGAAATAATAGCCCCCAATTTTCGTAGTAGATCTCTTCCCAACAATGGGTATGGGCACTCTGGGATGACTAAGAAGGAATGAGTAACAGTGCCTTTTCCCAGATTTACAGTTCGTTTAGTGGTCCAAGGGTAAGAGGCCGACTGTCCTGTGGCCCCGGTAATGGAGGACTTTAGGGAAGAAAGGGTTCCAAGGGGGGTCTTTAGGACAGAATGGGCTGCGCCAGTATCCACAAGGAATTGGACATCTGTTCCCCCTATTTCCAAAGTCACCATAGGCTCATTAGGGTCAAGCGGCCATGAGCCTCGGCCTCGTCAATCTTCCTCATCTACCAGGAAAACTCCATCTCCTTTTTTAGTCTCTTTCTCTCTCTCTTTCTTTTCAACTTTTCACAATCCCTCTTGTAATGGCCCTTCTCTTTGCAATATGCACATTGATCCTTCTCTAACAAGGGCCATACTTTACTTTTAGCTTCTTTTTTATTCTCTCTGTATTTCTTTTGGACAAAACCTCCATCTGCCAAGGCTGCAATGTTCGCCCTTCCTATCTTTTTAGCCATTTTATCCTCAAAAGGATCCCTATTGTTAAACACCTTCATTGCCATACTCATCAATTTTTCCCTATTCTCTCCCTCAAATCCTTCCATCCGCTGCAGTTTCTTTCTAATATCTGGGGCCGACTAAGTAACAAAAGCCAAATTAATTGCCTGTCGATTTGCAGGGGCATCTGGGTCAATTGGAGTATATGTATGGTATGCTTCCAACAGATGCTCCAGAAAGGCAGAAGGGGAGTCCTCAGGTCCTTGAAGGACCTCGCTTACCTTGCTCAAATCGGTAGGCTTTCGAGCGGCTCCCCTCAAGCCGGCTAGGAGATGCTGACGGTAGTTTTGGAGAGCTTCTCTCTCGCCCGAGGAATTAGCTTGCCATGGGGGATGGGTGGACGGAAGTTGAGCCTCAATACGGGCCCGCTGTTGTTCATCGAGGGGGCCCTCTGTTCCCCCTAACACCAACTTTATGGCTTGCCCTCGGATCCTTTCTCTTTCCTCAGAGATAAAAAGAGCTTGGAGAAGTTGTTGACAATCATCCCAGGTTGGGCCACGGGTATGAAAAACAGATTCTAGGAGGGAGATCAAAGCCTGGGGTTTTTCTGAAAAAGGGGGATTTTGATGTTTCCAATTATACAAATCACTGGTAGAGAAAGGGATATAGACATAATGACCCTGTTCTATTTCCCTAAGAGGCAGAAAAGGAACTGAACTAGTCCCTTCAGTGAGAGCTCTATGGGGACCATAAGCTGCCCCTGTTCTCATGTGGGAGGGGGAGGTTATAGAATCTGGAGATTTTCCTTCTTCGGGAGGAGGAGGAGAGAGAGTTTTGAGATCTGGGCCCGGCTTTATCAGAGGAGGAGGATGGCTCTACATAGGGTGGAGGTCTTATAACAAGATCTAAGGGGTCAGGATCTTGTGAGAGCACCAGCTTGGGAGCCTGGATTTTGGCCTCTTGGGGTTCCCTTGGGGCCATAACCAGAATGCGAGACTTTGTTGGCAGGGAACAACGCTGCAACCATGCCAGAGGCTCTTGACAAGCCCGAACCCAGATATTTATATATGGAAACTGATCAGGATGGCTAGGGTGTCCGGTGACCCTTTTCCATACCACCCTGCAGAGACTTGGGTCAAAAGAGTCCTCAGCTGGCCATCCAACTCCAAAGGCCGGCCATTCCAATTGACACAGGGAGAGAAGATTTCAGCGAGAAAATTTAACCCCATATTCGTTCTCCTGTTTAGGGGGAAAAGCCAATTTAAAATTAGTAAGAAAACAATCCAATGGGGTATTTCTGGAGCAGGATCCTCCCATCTCCGCCCTGATGGTTTGGAAAGAAATACAAAATTAAACACACAACGGACAGGACACTAACGTATGAGTGACAAGACGAACAGGAGCCACAACAAAACTGAAACTAAATCCTCCCTTATTCCTTATCAGGAACCGTGGGGTCAGGGGAGGCTTACCAGCCTGTCAGTCACCTCACTCCTGACAACAAAGGGTTGCAACTGGCCAAAAACTTACCTCCAGAGGTTTTCTGAGGTCTGTGCCTGAGAGTCTCCTGCTGGATCCCGCCACAGAGTCTCAGCTGAACTGGGGTTCCTTACCTGGGGATCTCACTGGGGCCTCCAAAATGTAAGACCGTTGGCCTTGCCAAACGCTCCGAGGAGCTGACTGCAGCAAAGAACACCCAGGAAGGAACACACCAGACAAGCTGGAAAGTAAAACAGACCTTTATTAGTCTGGCCAGACAGCACTCCCAAAGCAAAATAGCTTAGAGAGGCAACTGGCTCAGAGTCCGAGGCTGTTTTTATAGGGTGTTGAGGGGGAAGTTAACATATAGAATTAAACAAAAGGGGGCAAAGTTTAGTGGTCGACTGTCACGTATTGATGGTCAGCAGACATTTGCAGCTTGTTCTATAGATTGTGGTGTCTGGAACATCAGTTCCAGGCAAACAAGGAGTTGAGTAGTTTACTTTGGGACTTTAGGTCTGTTACAGATTTTTATCTAGTGTCCCAAAACTAACAAGCATCTTTATCCATGAACTCACATTTAATCACAATGGGGCTGGAGAAAAGGAACAAAGGTTATGTAGTCCCACCTCTCAAGGCTAGAAGAGCTTGGAGTGACATATTTCAAGCCCTGAAGGAAAACAGCCTCTAACCCAGATTGATGAACCCTGCAAAACTATCTTTCAAAATTGATGGTGAAAACAGATACTTTCATGAAAAAG